GCTCTACCACTTGAGCCACCGTGCCACTTTTGGTTTTCTGGTGGTTAATTGAAGATAAGAGTCTCACGGACATTCCTGCCTGGGCTGGCTTTGAACCGCAATCCTCAGATCTCAGCCTCCTGAATAGCTAGGATTACAGGTGTGAACCACTAGTACCAGGCTAAAATCACATTTTCAATGTTTCTTCCCTGCTCCTCCTCCTCCTCCTCCTCTTCCTCCTCCTCCTCCTTCTTCATCTTCTGGCAGTATTTAGGTTTGAACTCAGAGCCTCCCACTTGCCAGGCAGGGTTCTATTACCGAACCACATTGCTGCCCTTTAATGTCTATTTTTTAAATAGAAGAGGCCCAGATATGCAGAAATACCTGATCTAGAAGAATCATAATGCAGTCTTGGCTCACTCTAGATCCAGTGAGAAAGAGCTAAGTGATCTTTTGGTATCTGCCAAGGTTTGGTCTTCTGCTCTTTCCCCATCCAAAAACCTGAAATCTGAGGACTTCAGTCCATTATATAAAGTTGGCTTAGTATCTGTGTATAACCTACATCCATTCATACATCTTCCCATGTACTTTTATGCTATAAAGTAATTGTTATACTTTATTGGTTGGAATGACGTATGTGTGTGTGTGTGTGTGTGTGTGTGTGTTCTGTACAGATGCAAATCTAACTTCTAAGATTTTCAAGTCCAGGTTGGCGGGACTCACAGCTGTGACAAAGGACTGACTGTACTTTCTGTGTCTGTGGGAGACATGAGGAGCAAAACATCACCTAGATTTCTTCATCTTTGATCTGGGGAGATGAGTGTAGGAATGTTTTGGGGCTTAAATCTCATCTCCATAATACAGTTCATTCACCTTTCTGAGCCTGCTTCCTAAGGCTGCAAAACAGAGTTCCAGGGGCCTTGAAGAAGTCTGGAAGAATGAAAGCCAGGGTGGACTAGATACTGTTCCAATGTGCTTTATTACAGAGTAACTCTTTTATTTGAGCCTCCTCCTTCACCCCCCCTCCCGCCTCCCCACGGAATAGGCAATATTCCTATTGCTCCTATGATGTGTGCTCTGAAGAATGGAAAGGAACTTGGATAGAAATTTCATCCAGAGACATCAGAAGTACAAACCAGGATTCCCCCAGCCTTCACTTTCCCTGTCCTAATTTAAGGATCTGAAGCCCACGGTCTGCCTGCACCCTCTGGTGGCGCGAAGTGGCTCTGTCTCGACGCATCCACAGTCCGCAGTGGACCAAGCAGGGACATTTCTGGGACTTGGGAAGTGAAAGCCACGTGAGTCCGGAGGAAGGAGGATCGCGGGGGAGGGGGGAGGCAGGGGAAACGGGGGCGGGGGGTAGGAGGCGGCGCGGCCCGGAGACCTAGCTAGCGCGGGGCGTGGCTTTGGTAGGGGCGGGGCCAAGCCTGAGGGCCAAGACGTGGCGCAGCGGCCGGGTGGTTTCTCCGGCAGCCTGCGGATCCACTCACTGCCGGCCAGGTACCAATGAACCTCCTGCTGCTGCTGCCGCCGCCTCTGCTACTGCTTCTCGCGGCTCTTGTGGCTCCAGCCACTGCCGCCACCAGCTACCGGCCGGACTGGAATCGCCTTCAAGGCCTGGCCCGGGCCCGGGTGGAGGTGAGTTCGCCAGCCCCCCAGCTCCCAACACCCGGGCCCCACAACCCTGCAACATCATATTCTTGGGATCATGGCTCGTTCTGGCCCCAGAAACGCTCAGACCTCCCAGTCTCCCCTCTCTTTTCTTCCATGGTTCTGAGACCCTCCATTTCCCTCTCCAGCCTTAGGATGCTTAGTCTCCACAGAGGAAGGCTGAGACTATGGATCTTGTGGCCCTGGATTCTGAACCCTTGTTCTGCTTCTAATCTGGTCTGACTGCAGGCCCTTGGACACAATCTGGCCTCACAGTGGACCCTTGACACATTGGACCCAATACCCTCTTTACCAGGCGTTGACTCTCTCAAACTTGCCCATCAGAACCCAACTTCATCCCCAACCCCATCGCTCCAAATCCTCCCCCTCTCTCCCCCCCCCCCCCGGGATTCCTACCCTGGCCCAGTTTCTGGGCCTGGAGCTCTATGGAGTCTTTCTCCCTTCTTCTGAAAGAGAGTCTTTCTGGGTGCCTCCTCCACTATGCAGGAGCTTGGGAAATGGGTGGGGGGCGCTGAGAACTTGATTACCAATAATTCATTTCACAGCTGCCCCCAGGAAATTCCCCTCGCAGTCCACCATAGCCTCTCTCTGGGCCCCTTCCTTTTCTGACAAAAGATGATAGGGTAAGGTAGGCATGGAATGGGCAGTCCTGGGGTCCTGACTCCTGTTAGGAAGTGGACTCCCCTGGAGTCCTCCCATCCTCCCAAGTCAGGGAAGCAACCAGATGGTCTGTGGGGCCAAGCTGCAGGTGGCTGGCAGAGCTGGCCTAGGGTAGGGTAGGGACCAGATGGCAGATGCTCCTAATGGGGGCTGCCTAGGCAGTTCTGAGCTATTTCCTTCAAGTCTGCCTATCCTCTGAGGTTTCTGAGACCAAAGGTCAGGACTAGAGAGGCCTGAGAGGCTCAGGGTCATTATATTTGTCTCTTGGGTACTGAAAGGCAAGAATAAATAGGGTGTGTAGGCAAGAGCCCCAGGGCTGGCAAGCCCCCTATGGGTCTCTGGCCTTACTCCCATTTTCCCTGGTGTCTCTAGGCCTGAGCTCCTGTGCAACAGAGCTCCTGTGCACAAGGATCCACTGTCTCTTTCTCACCTTGGCAATTGCTCTTTACGGTCTTGGGTGGGGAGTGCTGGGCAGAAGACGTGTATGGGCCTCCTGACATGCCTCTTTTTTTTTTTTTTTTTTTTGTCACCAGACCTGTGGAGGATGACAGCTGAATCGCCTAAAGGAGGTGAGTTTGAAGGACGAGGTCCCCGCTTCTGTGTCCCTGAGCCTCTTGGGGAGTGGGCAATGTGGTCTCAATGCCTGGGGGGCAGAATTCATGGAGTCAGGAGCCTAGGCCTGGCTTGCTGTATGACCTCGCAGGGTTTATTTTCCAAATGGGAAGGGGTTAGGGGTCATGATCTTTGATCCTCTGTTCCCTCAGGTGAAGGCCTTCGTCACCCAGGACATTCCACTCTAGTATCCTTTTGTTTGGGGGAAGAAGGGAAGAAGGAGGGCACCAGGGAGAAACTCCTTTGAAGATAGAGATGGCAGGGGTTTTCCTCTGGCAAATGGAATTGATTGACATTGACCGTCCAGAGGATTCTGAGATGGTGTCCAAACTGGATAAGCAAGAGAGGCTGACTGATGGAGAGCAGGGCCCTTTATAGCTCTAAATCCTAAATCTTCTCCCTGTAAATGGCGATCTTGGCCCCAGTGTGCGCGCAGAAGAGGCAGTTCGGTTCACATCACCAAACCAACCCCTTCTGCCCACTCCTACCCACCTTAACAACCCCTTCAGCCACAACCTGGTGATGAAACACCTCCCTGGGGCAGACCCTGAGCTCGTGCTGTTGGATCGACGCTTCGCGGAGCTAGAGGTGAGGCCTGGAAAGGCGGGCGGGGGCGGGACCGTGGGCGTGGCCGGAGCGCTGACCCCGCCCCTTCCCCTACCCCAGCGCATCCCACTTAGCGAAATGACCCGCGAGGAGATCAACGCGCTGGTGCAGGAGCTCGGCTTCTACCGCAAGTCGTCGCCGGACGCGCAGGTGCCCCCCGAGTACGTGTGGGCGCCGGCTAAGGCCCCCCAGGAGGCTTCGGACCGCGCCGATCTGTAGTGGAGTCCCGAGCCACGGCGAGCTAGGACCAACCCTGCCTGAGCCCCGGAGACAGAATGAAGCGCTCAGCATCCCGGGAGCAGCTCCTTTGCTGAGGGCCGACGCTGGGTCCCCGAGCCGGGCAGGAACGGGGTTGGGGAGCTTCCTCCCGCTTCCCGTCTCTCCGTCTCCCCCCCACCCCCCAGTCCAGCTCCATTAAAGCGCTCCCGCCTTTCCTGAGATTCTTCTGCGCTTTCCTTTCCCGGGCGGTGATGAGAAATCGAGCACAGGGAAGACCATCCGGAGACCCGGCAGAGCTTTACCAGCCCGGGCACGCGAGCTGGGGGACAACCCCCCCCTCCCCGAGACAGAGCCAGAGAGAGAGTGGAGTCCGGATCGTTGAAAATCAATAATTTATCAAAACGCTGCGTGTGTTTGCAGGGAAGGCTGTCGCGGCCGACGAGACGGCGGTGCGCAGGCGCGCGGAGAGCGGGCAGTGCGGGAAGGGCGGGGCGGCGGCGGGAGGGAGGCGCTAGACGTTCTTGCCGCGCATGCGCAGCTCGTGGCGCCGCAGGTGATTGTAGAGCGACTGCACGTAGGTGAAGACGCACTTGGGGTCCGGCTTCTTGCCCATGATCATCATGTCGTCCACCTCTACCAGGGGTACACAGTCCACCAGCATCCTGCGGGAAGCGGGGAGCAGGGGTCGTTGTCAGTGCAGCCAGCCTTCTGCACCCCTCTACCCCGAAGTACGGCAGCCAGCTGTTCTTACATTCCAGTCTTCATCAATGAAGCGTTGGAGGAAGGCGGCAAGCCCCGCCCCACCAGCCCAAGCCCAAAGGCAACCATGCTGGTAGGAGAAGCTAGGCCGGTGTGGTGGGGGAAAAGGCCGTGTCCCACCCGTGTCAGGCAAGAGTCAGCCCTCCAGTCTTGGCTACAGACCCTCTGGAAGGCCTCCTGCTCACCCTCATGGCACACTCCAGTTGGCAGAGGTCTGTCAGTTGGGCTAATACAACCCGGGGGCATTCACTGTTGGCAAATCTTCCTCCGTGGCCAGCACCAAGACTTACTCCCATGAATCTCTGGGCCCCTGATGATTATCTACCAACTGTATGACCTGGTGCTTTCTGCCAAGAGGTGGTAGAACCCTTCTCCTTCCCTTAGGGACAGCCCTGCTGCTGGAAATTGAGGCTGTGCGTGCATGCGTGCGTGTGCGTGTGTGTGAAGTGGATCTTTAACCCTTGTCACCTGCTTTCACTAGACTCAGGGCCCCTACCAGTACCAACTGGACCATCTATGCTCAGGGGGTGATGGCCTATCTGCCCATCCTTAAGAGTGCCAGCTCTACTTGACACATAGGGAAACTGAGTCAGAGGAGAGCTGTTCTGCTTCAAGCCTAGTCAATTGATGCAGGGCTGGCCCTGATGGGACACAGGCCCCAGCCCTAGATGCTATATGTCTCAAGACGCCTTGTCCTTAGATGGAGTAGGTTGTGGCTTTTATGCAATAGACAATCCAGAACTCTAAAAGCAGAGTGGGCTCTCTGGCTCTATTTCCTGTTCTTCCATAGACTTTTTTTTCTCCTCATTTCTGTTTTTGGATAAGGTCACACTCTGTAGTCCAGGCTGACCTCAAATCTAATATCTGTCTGCCTCCAGATTTTACCTCCAGGTCTTGCATCACCATACTGCCAAATAAGACCTCTTCCCCTTTATTCCCTGTGCTCTTCTGCCCCCGACACCTGGCACACAGCAAGCAGCCTGTCATTGCTGCTGACTGAGTTTGCTTTGGCAGGAAAGGCAAGGGTAAGGAAGACTCCCATTTCCAAGATGTGGAAGAGCCTAAGACCTTCACAACCAAACCGAGCACTGTGGTGGGGCTGGGTTCTTCTCTTAGCTTCACTGGATTCTTTCAAGGAAGAAACCTGGGAGGCAGAGAACCTCTGTGTTTTTTTTTCCTTCTTCAAGTTCTAACTCTGACCTTCCCTTCTGTGGTTGTTGGATAACAACGTGCTCTGTTCTGGGACTCTTTCCTACTTTTTATAAACAATATAGTCATTCCCTACCTTATCTGAAACCTTGAAAACACTTCACATGAGTGACAGGTACCTGGCTCTGCTGCTGCTGTGCTTGCCCTTAGGGTCATCCCTGCCCCACCACTGGGCTTGTTTCTCCAGCTGTATCATGGTACCAAGGCAGCCTCTTTCTGAAGTGTCTTCCAGCGGTGGCTATCTTCCCAGGGATCCCAAGGCCTCCCTCCCCCAACCTGGAGCTCCCTCCCACCCCTGGTGCCTTCCCTGGAGACCTTATAAAGCCATTGTTTACACTGGGGCAGCATGGCTCAGGGCTCAGGCTGCCCCAGTGACAGGCCAAACACTAGGCAACTGCAGCAACAGTACAACAGTACAGCTGAGTCACACTTTCCAAGTAGATTGGGGTTCACAATAGGTCTTTTCCCCCTCTAGGTTACTGGGCAGCGGCTCCTCAGTCCATATATGACCTAGACACAGTACCAAGTGCATCTTCCCTTACCTGCACCTCTGACTATGGGTGCATGCGTGGGCTGTTCCCACAATGATCCAGGCCTGTGGAAAGGCATCTGAGGGCACCCTAGTTGGCTTTGCTCCCGACTCATTACTTTGGGCAAGCCCTTTAGTCCCTTATGGGTCTCTATTTTTTTTCTGGATCTCTATTTTTTTTTTCTGTCTAGAAAATTGTTGGGGAAACTCTTGGGATGAGAAAAAGAGTCACTGAATGAAGATATCTGGAATCTCAGTTTGGGGCCCTGGATCTGATCTGGAACCCTCCACCCCTGGGGATCCTCTTAAGCCTACCTCTCCCCTTCTCTGAATTTGTCTGGAATTCTCTACTGGGATACAGAAGAAAGCTGTAGCTGGCTTGGGAAAATCCATAATCCTTAGCCAGAAACTTTTTCTTGTCAAACTGGCCTTTGTTCCCAAGTCCCTCACCTTGGGGGGTAAGACACCACCAAATCTCCAGAACCCCATATTACCAGCTTGGGCAGCTTCTTGGTCCGCCCCCCCCCACACCTTTCCCTTCCCAAACAGACCTATCAGGAATCCTGACCCCTCTACTTCTGATGCTACTCTAGCCATCTAGTTCTTCTCAGGCTTCTCTTCATCCAAGGATTGTTCTAGAATGCTAAGCTGAAGCCAGCCAGCCAGCCACCCTGTTGGGAAAGCTTTCAGGATTCGTGCTGTCCTCAGGAGGAAGTTTAATGCTGTAACTGTGGCCCCTTCCTCCAACCTCACACCCAGGCTCCACTTCCTTTCCTACTGCCATGTTCTGTCTAGCAGTTAAGCCTGCAGCCTGTGAGGGTCACGTGGGCACAGGGGATTGGGTACCCTTTGGGCTCCCGATCTTCCCCATCATAATCCTCCTCACCTAGCTCATTATCAATGATCCTTGCTAAAACCAAATGGTTTTACCTGCTGAGCCCTGAAGTACCAGAAAACAGGTCCTGTCTGCCTCCTCTGGCTTTTACAAGGGTCTCCCTGCACCCCCCCCCACTTCCCAGCCCCTCTCTATGCCCCTGATGAGCAGACTCCAGTGCAACAGGGCAGGTGGGAGAGGTGGCGTTTCTCACCGTGGGGCCCCAAGCAGGGGTTAGGACTTTTTGGTTTTTACCAGTCCCTTCTGGACCAGACAGCGGTAGAACTCCTGGATGTACGTGTACACGCACTTCCAGTCAGGCTCTCGAAGCCGCACCATGTCCTCTGTATCCAGGAGCTGCGGGCAGTCCGCATGGGTCCTGGGGAGGGTAGGGGGCCAGGAAGGGGAGGCAGGGGAGGACAGGGCCCAGTGGGAGGAAGATAGGGGAGGAGGGGAGGGAAAGGCCAAGAAGAGAAAAGGGAGGAGAACAGAGACACACATACACACACACACACACAGAGACAAGAGTTCAGTTACGTTCTCAGTGCCGCAGTCTGCCAGCCCCCCGCATGCCCCTTCCCAACATGGTGGACGTGCTTGCTCACTACCCATCACTAACGGTGCGCGATGCAGACAGGGGTGGGGACAAACCAGTCACAGGTGCAAAGAATTCTTGGGACAAGCGGGAATGAGGAGGGTGGGGAAGGATGATACTGGCGTTGAGGTTGGAAAGGGCTGTGCCCCAGGGAAGGGGGGGGTGAGGGAGGCGTGAGAGGAAGTGGGGGAGGAGGAAAAAATCTGGAAGGAACCAGAATGAGAATGGGGGAGAGAAATTAAAGAGCTGGAGGAGGGTGCTAGGGTGAGGTGAGCAGAAGGGGTAACGATTCCAAAGTGGAGGGCTTGCGATGTCCTATATAAGCTCTGGCAGCATCTATATAGGCTGAGCGGGCACGGTGCCCAGGGTCAGGAGCCTCCTTTTGGAATCTCCCGCCGGGATCCCGTGGGAGCAGGAAGCTCTTGTGAGAGTTGGAGGAGAGCAGGACAGAGGAAGGGAGAAAGGAAGGAGAAGGAGCAGAAAGAGGGGAGGGGAGATGGGCAGGGCCACCTGATAGGCTTTGGCCTGGGCTGGGAGGTTGGCCTGCCGCTCCTTCCTTCCGGCGGGCACTGGGCACACTCAGCAGCAGGTGGGCGGGGAAGGACAGGGGCTCTCTGGGGAAGGGGGCCTCAGCTGCAGACCCAGAGTACAGCTGGTCCCTTCCAGGAAGGGGGAAGGTCTTGGGGCAGCTGAGCCCAGGCGACAGCAGCTGGGCTGTGGGCCCCCACTTACTCAGCGGATGAGAAGGCCACCTCAAAGTTGTGGCGCCGGTTCTGTGGGCTCAGTTGGCCATAGTCAAAGGCCTCAGGGAAGAAGTTGTGTACCAGGGCACAGAAGGCCATCCCATCACTCCAGCTGGAGGAGAAGTTCTGGATGTCCACATGCTACAGGCGGAAGAAGGCCAGGTCAGGACTTCCCCCACGGCGCAGGGCGGGGGGAGGGGTGTATTAAGGGGATGAGGGTTGGGGGGAGGGGCAACAATTCCATGCCCACTGCCCCTACCCACTGTATCAGCATACCAGACCTAGGGACCTGGGCTCAAAGAAGCCCTGAAACTTTACTCAAGGTTGCCCAGTAAGTGAGCAGCAGCCTCCAATTCAGTTTATCAGCTCCCATGTCTGTGGTGACAGAACTACCAAGAAGCCTAGTGTCATTCAAGACCACAGAATGTACCCAGTGCCCCCACAGTGTAAGGAGGGAACGCTAAGAA